TTTTCTGTGGGTAATGAGTTCACACTGTAACCATGGTATTTTTATATTTAAAACAATCTCAGAACTATTTATGTGGCTTAGTAAAAAGATAGGTCTATATGCCTCAACATTTGCTCAGTATTCTAAATTAACTTTTGACAAAAATGTATTGCGTTACCCCTGTATCCATCCTGGAGGATTTGGCCACAATTGCGCCAATTTTTATAAAGCCTAAAAGACTCTCAAAACTCTCAAAACTATCCGGTTTTAACCGTGCCAGCAAGAGTGTATTTAGTCAACCGGCGCCAGTACTCGCTTTGGGAATCCTTTTTACCGGTGCCGGACTTCGCGACCTCTACATCTTGCATCCGCAAGATGGCCCAATATCCTCCCCCTAGTTGAGTTTATAGTTCAAACTGCTCCAGCTTTATACACACACCAAAAAAAATACTGCGTTGGGGATCATTGTAAGCTGTTTGCGCTTCCAGATTCAGTCCCGTGTGGCTCATGCAACTGTTTTCAAAGCTAGGTGGCGTCCTTCGTATGATCGATTCTACTTGAAAACTTACTGCTCATATTCATTACTACACCTTAATTTACTCCTCTTTATAAAGTTACACTATAAATGTCGGTTTGATGTACATTTTTGAGCCTTCGGAAATGGTGTCACGTCACTGGTCAACACACATGTTTGCGAATGATGAATTGTGCATGACCCAGCGGAATTTCAAACTTCATGGTACTTGGTGTTCAATCTTATATCGTAACGTCAGTAAATTATCTTTTGGAAATTTTAGGATGTGAACCTGTAGATGTCTTATATTTACACCGATGTTTCTTGAAACAGCATCGGAATACTAGTAACACTACTGTCTGATAATGGTATTCGGGATATCATAAACCATTGATGAATAGCCGAGGTATTATCAGTCAAGCACGATCGAAAGTGCGTATTATGTATACAGACTAAAAAAGAACTCCCGATTTCAAACCAAGTTTCATATCAGTCCATGTATCAATCCAATGTGAATTCCGTGCGAGAGCCAACGGTACTTGAATGCCTTGATAACATGGCAGACAGACCCGCCCCTCCCTGTACAACAAATACCATCCCACCGACACCATGTCCACCGTGCCCAATACTTCACCCAAGAATCTATCAGCGTTCATCAGCGAGTCTGAAGTATGTCAGCCGGGGCTAGAAATATTGCCATCCGGAGGATAGTACCCTCTTATTGATGCACTCGGGACAACGAGGAATTCCCCCAATGCGACATTTTTCAATTCTTGCTGACGTCTGAATCCGGTCTGCTAAAAAATTACTGAGAAATAATATCGCATCGTGGAACGGAACCGCAGACCGGTGTTTACACGACACGGCCCAAATATGGATGAAATATTACGGACGTTTATCCTACAGCAAAACCGGAATAATGGCTCATTAAAATAAGTAACATAGTCTAAAATTAGCTCAGGGTTATTCTGAACCTTTATTGAGTTTAGGATGTTTAGTCCCTAAAGGCTTAATATCCTCTTGCATTGATAATGATGACGAGGCGTTATGAGATCGGGATGAGTGTTACGAATCGCCTCGACCCGGTTCCTTCGCTTTTGTCCCGGGCATAATTGACAGAAGCATGCAACAGTTGCATCCGAGTACTGGGGTGTCGAAGACATGACTACATGTATAGTCATCATTCAAATTTTAACACATGATGATATGATCTAGTACTCCCTCCCCAAGTCATGTGAAAGGGGGTGTTATTTTTTTAAGGTCCATTTTCTCTAAAAGGAGCTAGTGTCGCTTTTTAAAGGTCCTTTTTTTTTACTCTAAACTGCCAAATTTGGGACACTGTGTTAGTATTGCAGCTTAATTCAGGGCATCAGATTGCAATAATTATTGTGGCCAAAACTCAGTGATGGCGCACGTGTTTTCAGTAAAACAAAAATCTTGAATTTTAGCTCTGCCTTGAAACGAATGATCTTCATTAACTCTTAACAGAAATAAATCTACCCTCAATATGCCTGCCTTGACTAGTAAAAAGCTAACTTTTTTGATGGGAAATAACAAAATTCGCGAGAATTCGCACAAGTTCCTAACTTCCTACGTCATCGCCATATACACACCTGCAACGTATTCAGAGCAGTATTGACACAAAGATTGGATTTTGGACAGCGTATGGATCTCTGAGGTCAGTGCCCAATTTCAGCCAAAAACAATAATCCTGTCCAAAAAAACATCGGGGAACCAGTCAAGAGCAGTACACATGGCCTGCCTATTTTTTAAAACTGGTAACCTGTTTTGCTAAGCAACTATTTTCTGTACGTATGGACAAATTCTGTGCTGTTTAAAAGCAGCTCAATAAAATTAGCCCCCTGATCCGGATAAGCGGACTGGCTTATAGGCGCGGCTGAAAGTGCTTAAACACTGTCCACGTACAGAATCCAATAATAAACTCCGTACTCTTGTACACTGGTTGATGCCCCCAGTATATCCATGTGGCCTCCAATCCAGTTCATCTCTCATCCTCGCCGTAATCCGTCGTTGATTGCGGGGCGTGTCATTGGAGACATTCCGTGTCCCCTGAGGCCGCACGGACGGCTGAGGCAGGAGGTTACCTTGGTCGGCAATTACTCATCATGGCGTAATCGTTATGGAAACATCTTCAAATGACCTAAACCTGTTGGCATTAGCTAGACATACCAAGGAATTTTCAACGAGTGAAGACAAACCCCTCACGACTGTTGTTCCATCATGAAGATCATACTTTTCAAAACATAGAAGATCATAATTGAGCATCATGGCAATAGGGACGACTGTCGGGAGATTTGAGTATAATCTTGTCTCGTTATTTAGGTATAATCATTGCGGAAATTGTACCCTTGGGAGCCATTCCTATAGACTTGTACAAAAAAACTCTTAACTTTAATAACATCTTGACCCTAAACTGAACCACCCTCGCCAAACTTTGTAAATTTGTGTTTTGTATCACAATGAATCGATTTACACGATTTGCGACATTAAAATATAGAAACATATCCTGGAAACAATAGGGGACATCAAAATGTTTCCTTGTCCACCTTGTACCTAAACTACAATTTGTTTTAGCAAAACATGTCACTCCGATGTGCCAATTGCGAGAATAATGTGATATCAAAGTTATTAAACTAGCTGGTTATCGAGCGTCTGGACAACCAGATTTACCAACCAGATTACTTACTTAGTAAACAAGTTGGTAAACAATAAACTAGTTTCGGTAGCACAGGTAACCCTTAAGTGATCCGGACTTTTTTGAAGGAAAATGTGTTGAGCTGTAAAAAAAAAAAAGGATATTTTTTGCTTGTTACTGCAACGAATACAAGACGTAAACCGAAAATGACATTTAAAGCACACTGACTTTTCTTGTTAATTGCAGGATATAATCTCCGGGGTTAGAGTCGTTTGACTCCGTTACTCGCAATTAAAGCAGAACAATGTGATATCAAAATTATACCGATATTGAGCTTGTAGATACCGATCTGTTAAACCAACCAGATGACTAACTTATAGTAAACAAGTTGGTAAACTTTAAACTAGTTTCGGTAGCACATATATAAAAAGGTAACCCTTGGGCGATCCGGACTTTAATTTTGAAGAAAAATGTGTTGAGCTTAATCAAATTAAAGAGGGCGCCAGAAAAAAAGTGTTTCTGTATAGCTAGTTTACGGCAACGAGTACAAGACATAAACCGAAAATGACATTTAAAGTACACGTGCTTGCCGTGTTGCAGGATATAATATTTCTTCGGGGTAAGACTTCGTTTCTAGCAATTAAAGCAGGTCCAACCCCTTTTCTACGACTACAAACCAATTTTAATTAAACTCGTAATGTAGCTCTTAATTTTGGCATGGCAGGTACAGCCTACTACGGGGCAGGTACAGGATATTTTGAACCGAGACAGAATATTATCCGTTTAACCCAGGGCAGTGTTTTGATTGTTCCTGTCATTCTTTTATTTTTCTATCATGTTTCTGGTGGAAGTATTTTGTTTCGATCCGGGGAGTCATGAATGGGAAAGTACTCGGTGATAGATGGCCTGGAAGCGGCACCGGAAGGTATTCTGTGAATGGCACGCGACCGGCGACCCATTAATATAGCTTTGCCCTTGGGCCTATGCGATCCCTGGACGTTTATTTATCAATGCATTTCATATTTTTAAGGGACTTCTGAAATAAAACATAACAATTCCGCAATATGATATTGAAGCGGACCGGCACGAAACCCCGTCAAAATATTCGGAAATATTTGACAAGTAAAACCTGGGATGCGGCTGAACTCATCGCACCGATCCAGTTCTGGCATCCAAGACGCATACGAGAAGCCATCGAGATCCGCAAGCACAACACAGTTCCCGGCAAGACATCGGGTTTCACCTCAACGACATCTGGCTCCCACTACTTCAGACTGATGGGTCTCCTATAGGTCCTCAGCTATACCTTAGACTGATGTGTCTCCTATACCCTAGGTCCTTCTTTTACTGAGACTGCTACCGTACTGTTCCACTTCATTGGGCACACCAAGCTTGCTCTGGGGCATTTGTGGACTTTCCCCATTTGCACCCCGTAAATCGGTTGGAATACGATGAAGCCGATATCAACAAATTTGGCTTTCAGGCCCTACCTGATTCCATGGATTATGCTTAAACTGCAAAAAAAAAACACCGGGTAAAACACTGTTGGGCAATGTTATTTGCCCTAAAATGGTATGAATTTGCCTTGTTCGGACACAATTGACCAAGTGTTGGGAAGAAGTTTCCCAAGAGTGTAGGCGCAGTGTTGACCAACATTGGGCACATATCAACTCATTTGCTCAACTCTTTAAAGATTAATTCAGGGTTTACTTCTCATAAAACTTCTCATAATCTCTCTTCTCCCTGTGGGTTTCTTCTAGCTACAGTATACTTTTGCAATTTTAAGATATCGTATCACTATACCAGAAAGAACTAAAATATAATTTTCGTGTTTTCGTCTTCTCTCCACAGACTTGAACGAGTGCAGCACGCGGCCATGCTCCCACCGGTGCATGAACACACCCGGTAGCTTCCGCTGCTACTGCGAGCACGGCTATCTTCTGCTGGAAGACGGTACCTCTTGCAGCCGTAAGTAAAGTTTCAGAATTTGTTACGGCTTCCTGTCTGGTTTCGGCCTCATTCTCTTTACAGACTCATGTAGAAACCTTTTGGGCCATGACCACGAGGCAATTTTAGACAGGCAGCTTGTTCTGAGCACTCTCCAATAAGACTCGAAACTATAAGGCAAATGTTGATTCCATTTATAATGTTTTAAGGAATTTCCATAAACTGTTGGGAAAAATGTAATGTGTTTATCGCGAGGGTTCCTTTAGTTTATTGTCTTTTTGGTTGCCTCCAAGTTACCTATTACTTACCTGTGTTTTTCCCTTACTCGGAGTAAATTAATAGAAGCTGTCACCTTTGACCTCCTTTCAGAGGACTTGTTGTGCAAAATACTATACGAACACATCCTTAATTTTGTTTGCGTAAGACAAATTAACGGAACCTATATATTGGTGACCTAATTAGACTAGAATGTAAAATGGGAGGAAGAATTACATCACTTATCAGCAATCGATATCTTTTTTAATCAGTTCACTTTTTTGCTATCCGGAGGAACCACAGTGCGTGATGTCGCATTGTTATGTGCGTGATTAAGTCCGGGATATCAATGCACTTTTCGTCTACTGTAGATAGCAGATATGGAATGTTTCTTTGTGGGTTTTTTTTCCGGGCAGCCACGGATACCGGTAATTGGATTGATCCGCAAAGACTGCACTTTGACAGTAGCTTACCTATTCTCCCCTCTTGTTTATAAATGGGAAAAGGAAAGTTCTGATTATTTCAGTTAATCGAGTCTTTCATCGGTGTGCTCTGACTACGAGCAGACAATTTCCCCCTTTTTACGGGAAAGGAGCTTGCAGTTTGGTTCAATCAATACCACAATTTTATGCACAGCAAGCCCAGTCAACACATTCTCCGCTGCAAAAATACATTCTCACGCAATTGAAAATAACTTAAATAACATTGCTGCCTTATTTACAAGTATGAATGCTGGCTAAAAGCTTTTGACGTCTTCACTTTGGGTGCAAAATTAGAAATACTAAATCGCATGAAATTATGTTTAATGCTTTTATATGTAGAACGCTTTTATGTCAGCCATGTGGAATGTAATTTTCATTTAATATATTTGTTTTGTTAAAACGATATTAAGTAGTCAGAGCAATTTTTTGTAAAATTATTTTAGATGAAAAATAAAGTAGACACAAGGAAGGTTTCAATTAATGAAAGTTAACAATAATTATCCATTCGTCCAGGTGAGAAACATTTCTCTGTTTTGAAACCTTCAAGACACCGACACATTTCGCCCAGGCATGTGTGTCCCCGGCCCCCGGCGCTTACATAAATATAATTTTAATGACTCTGAAGGCCGAAAACAGGAAGTGTCCGTTTAATCACGGCGGGCCGCCAGTCCAGATATACCCCGGCCCAGCGATAATTGCTGACTCGCCGGCCGGGCTATAATAGCTAGACGTTCAATGTTGCTTCCAATCAGTAAAATCACTCCATTTTTGTTACTGATGTATTAATTGTTGCACTTGTGGATAAAATGCCATGGAAATCCGTTCATGCAAACCAGAGATCTAACACATTATAAAAGGTTGTGGTTTTTCACCCATACCAATGGGATGGAATTTACACAGTTAACTTTATTTAGGGCCTGATGCACTGATGTCACTAAACTGTGTAAATCCCATTGGAATGAGTGGAAAAAAACCAAAGTCTTTTATAATCTGTTAGATCTCTGGTTTGCATGAACGGATTTCCATGGCATTTTCACTGATTATACACAAAAGTATGTTAATATTATGCTCTATCGAGATGAAATACTCATGTTAGGTAGTTTTTGAAAAGATGAAGGATGTCTGCTTGCACAACTGTATTGAGATAACTGTAGGCCTAACGAGATGGTTTCGTAAGGAATTCATCATGTACCACATTCAACCAATTCTTAAACAAACGAAAAAAGAGGGGAAAACAAGCAAATTTTCCTAACACATACCTCCATTGCATTGTACACCTAAAATAAGAATTGCCACGCTGTTGTTCAGGTGCTTATAGTGTGACGGATCTAAACCAAGAGAGATACAAATCTTATCAATATCGGCGCTCTGTGTCTATAGGGGGCGCCATGCCGAGCCATTGATCGTGAGCCAGTTCACATAGGCACGGCGAGGGCGCTTTGTAATTTTGACACTAAAAAAAAATTGGCCGTAAGTGAACTCCTTGATATGTGTCTTACCGTCTTCAGAATGAAGGCCTAAGTTGTATATCCCCACTCCCGATTGTGCCGATCGATTGAGCGTTTTAAGTATTTTTTAATAAATTATATCTGTTTTCTTCTTGGCAGGTGACGATCGTTGTTCTGCAACCAGATGCGCATTCGGCTGCATCCAGTACCAGGATGGTTTCACATGCTTCTGCCCAGATGGTCTTGCCCTCCTGCCGAATGGCCTCGGATGCACAGGTAAAATATAGACTGGAGGTATTAGCGTATTGGTCTAAAGCCAAAGGGTGCACCACACCAATTCAAGACCCATCGTAAACAGTGTAAAATCAACAAAGTTCAGGGCTAAATAACATGCGAGCCGACATCACTGGGGTTTCTCAAACAAAAATTAAATTATTGTCTTGTCCTTCATCTCTCCATTTATTCTCAATTTTTGGTTGGTTAGCCAATTACATTTTTAGTTCACACCAAAACAAAATCCCCTCCCGAAAAGTAAATAGTTCCCAAGCCTGCATGCATCCATTTTACAAGTGGCATCTTTCCACTTTCTCAGGCAAACAGGACCCATTTTTTCAACCGTAATTTTATCAAGTCTGCCCTCAGATGGAAGCCCAAAAACCAGGGAGTTGATCCTCGGCTACATTTACACAATCCCACCGTTTTTTAAGCCAAACGGTCGCCTTTTTCAAAAACAGTTGTGGGTGCACTTTTCATGCTTATAAGCTCGTGTAGAAATTCTCAAGTCAATTTATGTGTGCACCCGGTAGAGCTAAAGTCGCGTGCACGCACATTCGTTTGATCCACTGATATCAGAGGTCTGCGGGGACAACGATGCGCTGGCAGGTCTTCTGGCTCTATATCCAAATGAGATAGTGATGCAGACAAGCTTGTACTTTTCTTTGAATCCGAAGGGTATTAACTGCGACATTTGTTTTGATAAAGGGTAAAACTAAAGGGTTTTCCACAAAAACGTTTCTGCTGACCCGATGTCACGGCGTGCATGACATCGGGTCGCCAGAACCGTTTTGGTTGGAGGTATTTACATCCTCGCAAAACCGGTATTGAGTTTCGTTGCTTACGGAGTTGAGAGACAATCCCAACTTCCCAAATGGCAGGAAACAAAATCCCCTAATCGGGCCCACCTGATTACAGTCAAGTCTTCAACTTTTGCGTAATACGGAAACCAGTCCACCCCGTGTCAAAGTTCATGTCGTTTGTAGGTCAACAGATGACAGCGGAAATGGGAGGATTTAGGTGCTTTTCTGTTGGGACTTAGACGGCCCCAGACAGACAAGGGAATTGCGCTTACCTTGAGGAGGTTTTCAAGAATAGACTGGGATGTTGTTTCCTGCTATGGGCCTGCCTATTCAGTGGGGATGGACGCAATAATTGGCCGTATCTAGACGTCCATATTATGCATGGTTTCACTGTAAACAGTCAATTTTGTGTCATCAAGACATCAATGGTAGTCCTTTCAACACCTGTAATTATGAACAGTGCCAAATTTAAGTCTATCGTCTGCCATTGAATTAAACAAGAAATAAGAATAGTTCAGTTTGAAAAATGGTTTCAGTTCAGTTTGAAAAATTAACTTCCACTTTAAAAGAAAGAGGGGAAAAAGAGGGTAAGAAAGACTACAATCTTGAAGCTGAATTCCTGACAGCTGTTCGGTGCAGGCGTGCATCAGTGTTTTGTAGTCTCCCCACGGAGGCCGGTGACATACAGATTGCCTCGATTGGAAATGCCAATTTTCACCGAAAATAGCTGGCATCCGCAAAGTAATACTTCCTCGTGGCCCCGCAGAGACTCCACACTTCCTCGTGTTCTTCCTACAGCCCACTCGAAAACAATTCCGAGCCCAGAGGCTTGATGATAAGGCATCGAAACGCCTTGAACCGGAGTTTAATTTGCAAGAATATAAATATACGGACGTTCTGCGCATGTCTGTCACCTGTTCTATATAAAGACGTCTGCTCCAATTTTAAGGGTGAACTAGAATGCAATAAATTATATGGAACAGCACACTTGGGTCTTATACCCCCCCACCCCCCCCCCCCCCGTCTTTCCACTGACAAACTAGACAGCCAGGTTCCTGTTTTTTCTTGACATAATAAGTAATTCCGTTATTCCGATGTAGTGTGACGTTTTGACTCCTTAGAAAGGGACTGCTTGACTGTATTACGCATGCCTCAGTGTACACGGAACCATAATAACGCGATTGAAGAGACTGAAAATTCCTTCGTGACCATTTTTTTTTTGACACCGGCAGTGCGTCCAACTCCAAGGATGGTTTCCAAACCTTGTATTCATCCCAGCTTTGACTTCGTTACTGACTTTTGTACAAATTTTGAAGCCTATATCAGTATTTGTAGAAACCAATACGGAATAGGTCTACTCCAAATTGTGTTTTCAAATCATATATGATTTGTTAATGAAGCAAAACATGGACCCCTATCGAGGTGGAGTCTGCCCCTTAGTCGGGCATAAAAACTCCCCTGAATCCAAAAGTGGTGACGAAACCGAGTTTTGAAAAATAAAACAGCGCCACCAATCGCTTAATAAAAGGAAAGTACGTTGCAAGTTTAGGGGTGCACCCCAGAACTCTCACAGGTGTTCATGAGCTGCACAGAAAAATGATGAACAACATGTCAACTTTCATTTTCTTTTCAATTTTTAGTGGGTTAACCACTAGAGAAATTCTCACCCAAAGAAGACCACCCCGAATGATGTGTTTCCAAACTGGAAAAGTAGCCATTTTGAAGAAGAAAAAAAGGATCCCTCTGGGTGCACACCGGTAAATAGGCCTAAATCCATTAGCCGAGCTTATGAATAACAGTCATACCCTCGAAATATTCTATATTAGAGAGTTCTGAGAGCCAAAACATTGGGGAATTGAAGAGATATGGCAATGAACTTCTGGCCCAGACTTGGAGCTTCCAATTCTGATCATTATTTGGGGATGCAATTGGGCTCGAATGTGGCGCTATTTTGCCATGTTGTGGAGGGATCGTTTTTAAGATGGCTACCGTTCCGCTTTGGGGAAAATAGGGGTCGTCTTCTTTGGGTGGGAATATCTCGCAAGTCGAAGGGTCAACCCACCAACAAAAATGAAAAGAAAATGAAAGATGACATGTTGATCATCATTTTTCTATGCAGCTTAAATACCTGTGAGAGCTCTGAGTATCTTTAAAAGAATTTTGAAGTATGGGCATTTCGCACTAGTGTCTATGGGAATTGTAATGCAGGTGGGCACCCCTCATCCACAACATAGCTAAATAGCGCCACCTTCGGACCCATTATTGCATCCAAAATGCTCAGAAGTGTCCCAAGTCCAAGTTCAGGCCAGAGATGCAGTGGCATAATCTTCAATTCCCAAATTCCTATAGAGAATATAATTTGAGTGTATTCATCATGAGCTAGGCGGACTGATTTGTGGGCCTATTTAATGGGGTGTACCCTTAAAAGCACCCCGGATGTTTTCCTCCTTCTTTTCTTTTAAAAAAGACACAGTTTCTTCCCCGAATTTCTTCCCCAGTTAGTTTCCTTCCAACGTCGACAAATCAAGTCAAATACGAATCGATCTCCTACACAGAGGGGAAGCAATTGATTTGTTTCATTTTGGGACCTTTGAGTGAAATGTCAAGGTCGTCGTTGATAATTCCCGCCTTTATTTAATAAAGACAGCAAGAGGAGACAGGGGCGAATCTTTTTAGGAAACGTGTCTAGTGATTGTACTTGACGTTTGATGGGGTTATGTGTTTGCAATTATATCGGATGAGTACGTGTGACTTTTGGACGGCGGGTGGGGATGTATATGAGTAACTTATTTATGGGCGAAGATGACTGAATTGTGGTGCGCTGCGGAAGTTCTGAGATGAAGTAAGATTATGAACTTATCCCTCGGCGTTTCTATGGGAAATGGGATTTTAAAAAAATCCAAGAACAGCATCAACAAAATTATCTTATTTATAAAAGTGGTAGCTACGAAAGCCTATGCACACTTTCCTTCGAGTTATAAATTTAATAAAGACGCAATTAACAAATGATAACAAAAATAAAACAATTAGTTAAAAAATCAAACAATAAGTTATAAATTCACATGACCACAACATCCGATTTGTAAACAAATGGCACATGGTCTGTAACTAGCGAGAAATGCTAAGATACATACACCATGTCAAATCACCAATAAAAACCAAAGGACCGTACAAATACCTGATTTTTTTCCTGATAAAAAATAGCGCCCTCTTTCCTAATTAAATAGCGCCCCCTTTCTTGATTAAATTGCGCCCTCTTCTGTTAAGTTGATTTCGAAATACACAAAATAAGCATCGTCTGCTACTCGGCCCGGAACATCGTCTACGACTTTTAGAAGGGAAAACCTCGGGAAAAACTATGATCTGCGTACAGATTGTCAGATAAAATGGTGAAACTATCCATGATAACAACGTTAGTAAGTAGCATTGTACTGAATTTTCCACGATTGTGGGTGTCGATCTCTTGAAAACCTTAGAAATCGCTGTAAAAAAAATAATTTGACACGGCCTGCACAGTCATGATAATTATGACAGTGTACAAGTCAGTGTGCGTTGTAATTTTGTATGTATCATGTCGGTGTACATGTATACGTTCATCAAATTCAATGTTTGTTACAGTTTAGCCTCAATTTTTTCTGTGCCAAATGCTCTTTTGTGTGCCCCCTTAGACACATTTCATTATTTCAAACATGGGAAAGATTCCCATATCTGGCCATCACTTGTCACCCTGTGCACAAACCCATGCCATGGGACTAGTCTGAACATTTCTAAGTGTTTTCTCAGTAAAAATTCAAAATTTGTCCCTGCCAATTTTGACTTTTTAGGACGTATTATCACTTTCCGATGGCTGATAGGTCATTTAAGGGAAACATTACTGATGGCCAGATATTACTCCTAGAACACGCGGAGCCTCATAGTTCTAGGAGTAGCCAGATATGGGAATCTTTGATTCTTCCCCATTTATTTTTAACTTGATCACATCATGCTTACTATAAATCACACGAAAAATGAAGATCATTTGCTGTACTGTCGTGTTGAATTTCCACTGCATGCACACAGAGGTGTCAAATATTGTCAACCTTTTTCTGTTCTGAAATATCTGTATTCATGTGTTATTAATTTCCTATTTTGAACATAATAAAGATTGTGCTGTTGAATAAAAAGTTACACCATATTAATCAGAATATATTTATAAGACCGCCCAACACATTAGCTTGGCGCTGACATCCGGGAAATATTTTGCGTTGGCTTATCTTTCTCCCAGACCTATGTTCTTGAAACTCAATGTTTCTTTAGTATGAAGTGCTGATTTGTAGTACAATGTACATACTACATAGCAATCAGTGAAAACTGAATGGTAAACACATAGCAACCGATGAAAATGGAAGCCACTCCGCCCCGATCTATAAAGCCAATGCAGTATTACCGGTACCAAATGCAATGTTAAATGCATTGAGGCCTATAGCCAGCTTTTATTATTAGTATTAATCATTTCTGGTAACGAAACCAAGGATTCCTCAAAAGCGCCCTAGGCACTGTAGCTCGCAAGCCTGAAGAAACCTGTGGAGAGAAGACAATGAGAAGAAGTTACAGTTTTAGAGGTGGGAGGAAAAGCCCAGAAGAATATTCTGGGGAAAACCCACGGAATCAGGCAGGGGCTGAAAACCCAATCCACATATATTGGCCCAGGCGGGATTCGAACCCGGGTCACAGCGGTGGAAGGCGAGGAAAGTACCGCTACGTCAACCTGACTCCCCGATGATGCCTGTCTAGAGCGTTGGCCTTGATGCAGTAAAATTGGGCCATCAGGATAAGCCGCCTTGTGGATTATGAACCACAAGTTGACCTTCCTTATCAGGAGGAACAACTTGTAGACTTGCAAATGTGTACATCTTGGCTTTAATACTAGCCAGCGCCGTAAATAGCCTCGGGCCAGCTCATTTCCTTCACAGAGAAATCCGGACAAGTACTAGCGGTCACTGTGCTCTCACAAGGCCCCCATCAATGGAGAAACCATTGCGCTATTGTAGCAACTACCTCATGATGGAAATCTGAACAATAGCTAGCACAATGCTTTTGCCATTGAAGGGGGCCTTCGTGACAGAATTACTAGCGTGCGCGAATTGGTCCGTAGCTAAACCCTAAAGACGCATCGTAGGAAATGTCTGTTTGCAGACGCGTGCGTGGTTTCTATAGGCCTAATTCGTCGGTTCAGTGCGTGACATCACGTAGTTACAATCGGCTAATAGCGAACGTGTCTCAAATGCTGAATTTAGGCCAATACATAACATTACTCAGCAACTTTTGATTTGAAATCGAAATCCTAGAATATTGTTTGCTCGGAATGTACAGCATTCACTGAGCTGAAATTTCATCAGGTTAGTTGTTAAGCACCCTTCTTTAGATTTTGGACACTTGTTGCTTCAAACGAACATAATGCACACATTACAAATGATGGACGCTACCTTTAAATTATTATAGCCCTGACTCCATGTACAAAGTGATGCCTGCTGGGCGCATCCATGTTTGTGCACAAACCTATGGAAAACTTGAAATTTTGTACGGCTTTTGTACGGCTATTTGCATATCTGCATTTTGTATTCTTTACAGGGACCTATCGAAGTTGGTACTCTCAATCCGAAATGCACAGTCAGAAAATGAGCATTTTATTTTTCTCTGCGCATGACACAAATGCGTGCGGGTATCCGCCTTTTAACCATCGTCTGTTGTTCTTGCGCGTTGCATTTAGAGTGCACTTTCAAAATTCACTCCATTTTATTTCATTATGTTCTACAAACACACACATGAATTCAAAATGTCTGCGCGCAGGATGGCTTAAAAATATCTTTACACGTAAGAAATGAGGAGTTAGTGCTCTAGCAATTAAATATAGCTCTGTGGTGGGACTAGACTCGCGAAAGCCTGGTGCCACCGCAAAAAACGGCTGTCGCCGAATTAGTCTCTAGCAAGACAGATGGCCTGATTTACTTTTGATTGATCATGTATTTCTCTGTGTCTGGAATTTCTTTTGCCAGATGTTGACGAGTGCGCGTTGGGCACTGCTAATTGCCCACAGGACAGGCGATGCAAAAACACCTACGGTAACTACATGTGTCTGTGTCCAGTCGGTTACAAGTTTGCCTACGTCAACGGGGAGCTGGATTGCGTGGGTGAGTTACCCGCCGATAATGCCCTGAAGCCCCAGATAGTCTCGGGATGAAGTTGAGAATTTTGTCTCAATTTGTCAGGGGTCATTACCAATTTCTGTCTTTCCCTAAAGTTCTTTGCAGTCTTAGATTTCATCCAACTGCAGAATATTATCGAGTCCTGATGAAGTAAGAATCTTGTCTAAACAGACTTCCGAAAGTCTCAATTTCTTGGTCTGTTTAGACTCTGTTCTCAAGTCCTTATTATGTCTCCATTTATTGGGTCTGTTTGAAGTAATGTACTTATTTTCAGTTCAGAATCTTAACAGAGTTCTGAAACGCAAATTAGGACCTGAATCTTAATTCTTGTCTTGTCTCAATTTCTGGTCCGTTGTTAAGTCCTTATTCTGTTCTCAAGTCCCTATTATATCGCCGTTTATTGGGTCAGTTTGAAGTAAGGTACTTATTGTTAGTTCAGAATCTTGTCTTAACAGAGTTCTGAATTTTACTCAAATTAATTAAGTCCTGAATCTCAATTCTTGCCTTGTCTCAATTTCTTGGTCTCAAGTCCTTGTTATGTCTCCAGTAATTGAGTCTGTTGGAAGTAATTTGCTTATTTCTAGTTCAGAATCTTGTCTTGAACAGACTGTTACAAGTTTTGTCTCAAGTCTTATCTTTAATTGCCTCAATCACTTTGTCTCATTCTGAGTTCTGAAGTCCTCAGATGTTTCCTCCATTTACAGATCTTTTCTTAAGTCACAAGTCTTTGGCTCCTCATTCAAAATCATCGCATGCAGTCCTTTCTTATCTTGTCTCAATTTCTTGGTTATTTCTTACGTTTTGAATTTTTTTCAGTTATGCCTCCAATTATCTATTCATATTTTTTTTTAAAGTTGGGCAAAGAAATTGACTGGAGCGGGGTTTTAACCTGTGACCTCCAGATTGCCTTTCCAGTGCTCCACCAACTGAGATATATCCAGCCCTATATGTTGGCAATTCCCCAATTCGTCACTGTCATAATTCCCTGAACCTTGTCTTGACAGAGTCCTAAGTCTTGGGTCAATAAAATCTGGTGTCTTCTCTCAAGTTGCAGGTTTTCAGTCAGATCCACAAACTTGTTGCACATCTAAAGTTTGGTTGGCTCCTAATGTGATGAGCCCAATCCCGGGGCAAAACCCGAAGTCTGTCTAAAGTCTTGTCTAATCAATATAAAGTCTGTCCAAAACTTTACAAAAAGGGTGAGTATTGAAGCCTGTTTATCAGCTTTGGCATGCTTGGAGCTTTATTTTCAAGTTTGTCTTTTTAACTTTTTCAGATGAGAACGAATGTGACAACAATCGCTGTGACCCTAACGCTTACTGCATCAATGTTATTGGGGGATTCCAGTGCAAGTGCAATGACGGCTTTCAGGGTGACGGAAACAAATGCGTTCGAATTGGTAGGTACTCAAAGGTCGATTGAAATCTCATACATGGAGACGGGATTCTCGAAAGGATTTCATTGACCTAAATAGCTGTAAATGGGACAATTCGCAACGTGCGACAAACTGCAAAGACTGTTTCACATCTTTGCTTTTTGAGCAATGAATGATTGATTAGATATCCTGTAAAGAGTCATTTGATTTTTTCTGGAAACGCTTTCAAAATCCCCAAACAAAAATGGCTGAAGATATGTCTTCAGACAGAAAATTAAAAGACACTGCCAGTGAAAGACCCATCACAACTTAATGCAACGAATTTGTTGCAACAAAAACTTTAATCCAATTAGGCGTTGTAACTTTTCAAATTTTTAATGCGGGAATTGAAGTTAGAACATTTATGCTTTGAACAAAGACTTTTAAGCAATGAACCTGAAGTCTTCTCTCCAAATAATTTCAGGGCATTTAGTACAATTCTGTATGGTTTGGGCATACTTGTGCATCTTAGCTAAATCCCTGGCATGTTCTGTCTTTTACTCAGATACCACGACTTGCTTGGACAAACCTTGCTTCCAAGATGTGGAGTGTACCGACGTACCCGTCAGTGCTGAACTACCAGCAGAGGGCGTCACCTCTATCAAGCAGTATCAGTGCGGGCCGTGCCCACCGACGTTTGTTGGGGACGGTGAATCTTGCAATCGTATGTACTCCCAGTAGCTCTGAACAGGATATAGTTGTACAACGTTTCATTCATGACGCATTTCACGTTTTGTCAGTGGTTTAATTCGGGCGATTCACAATGCAGTGCGCCACCAAGAGTTTGCCACGGAGAGTTCATTTTTCCCAGCACATTGTGGGAGATGGTCGACAAAGTCGTAGATCGAGACATTTGAAATTATTTGTTTTTCCGGTCAGTAGTTTTGTAAGCGTATGATTCGAGTATCTGTTTGCCCTTTTCTTTTCTTTTTATCAATATGGTCTTTTCTGTAAGGCGGCAGAACGCTGTGCCCCAATCTATAACAAATTAGCTCTAGTTGTCTACTGACACTCATTCAAATGGGCCATGTTTTGTCGACAGTAAACTTGCAAAATGGACTCTCCATGGCAAACTCTTGGTGCCGCACTGCATTGCGAATCGCCAAAATTATGTTTGCATCTTATGCAACCTAATATGACATAATGTACGCAGTCATTTCAAACGGCGTACATTAAAGGTAGAGTATATCAAATGCAGCTACCCAAAAAGTAGCTGACAAGTGGATGAAAGCTTACAAGGTTTAAAGATAGTAATGACACTAAACTCCCTGTGACATTATTCGTTCTGGCATGCTGTCATTTTGAAGAAAACAATAAAAGAAGGCCATTTCCAAAGATATGTCAAGTGACACATTTTTTGGACATTTTCTTTAGTGGTTTGTTTGTAATTTGGGGAATCCGCGTATGGGTAGGCGCAAACGTTTACACGACGCACACACGAGCGCGGTTGCTCTTACTCGTCAGTTAAGTGCGTGACATCGCATAACTGCAATGAGAACGTATCCCACATGCTGATTTCAGTCTTAATTCAAAACATGACTCGGAAACTTTTGAATTGAAACCGAAATCTTAGACTATTGTGTTCTTAGAATGTACAGCATTCACTGTGCTAAAACTTCATCAGGTTAGTTGTTGAGCACTTGTATTTAGATTATTAGCACTTTTGCAGCTTTAAACGAAAAAAAATTCACAAATGACAATATACAATGTACATGTACCCTACCTTTAAGGCATACAAAGTGAAAATGCAAAATTTTACTGACTGTCATGGAATCTGTCGTTGCACAAATAATCAAGATTGAAACAAGAAATTCACAGCTTTGTTTTTTACTGTAAATGACATGCTTGTATTACCGTAACAAAATTTATAACAAATGTCAACAGACTAATCTCATTTTATGAATGCATGGATTATTTATATCTCTCTCAACGTAGCCTCAACCATTCCCGTCATGATTGTGGTCGTCGACAAGGGTGAGGGTGACCTTCCGCTCAGTGAGGTCAGCGTCAAGGCCCAGGTGGAGCGCGGCGACGGACAGACCGAGATCGTAGCGGAGGCCACGACGGATCTGAACGGTCTCGCGACGTTGCAGGTCCCCTCCAACATCACCCTGCAGCTAGTAGCTACCAAAGACAGATTTGTGGACAGTATTAAGTCCTACTTTGTTCAACCAGAAGGAGGTATGTATATACTTACAATGTCTGACTGGGGTTCATGTTTGTGTTCGTGGGCAAGACACTTTACTACAATTGCCTCTCTCCATCTGGGAGTATGAAGAAAATTTGTGGACATCGACAGGTTTTACTATGTTTAGGCAGAAGGAGGTACATATATTTATGGTGTAAATGGAAATGGGAATCATGATGTTTGTGTCCTTGGGCAAGACACTTTACTACAATTGCCTCTCTCCGTCCAGGATTATAAAGAAAATTTGTGGACATCGACAGGTTTTACTATGTTTAGGCAGAAGGAGGTACATATATTTATGGTGTAAATGGAAATGGGAATCATTGTGTGTGTGTTCTTGGGCAAGACACTTTACTACAATTGCCTCTCTCCACCAAGGAGTGTAAGTAAATTTTGTGGACAGCAAATAATCCTACTATGTTCATCCAGAAGGAGGTACATATAGTTGTGGTTTAAAATGGGATGTATGATGTTTGTGTTCTTGGGCAAGACACTTTACTTCAATTGCTCTCCGCCCAGAAGTATAGAGGAACTGTGTGGACAGCGACAATGTCTACCATGTTCAACCAGAAGGAGGTACATGTATGTGTAGTTATGATGTCTGATTGGGCTCTTGATTTTTGTGTTCTTGGGCAAGACACTTTACTGTAATTGCCTCTGCATGGAGCCAGGGGTAAAACTGGTTACATTGAGGGTAGAGACCAGGTTGAGTTGATCTCAAAATGCTGCCAAAAACTAATCTCACGGCCCGATAATCAGGGGTAATAATTTGGAAGAGCTTTGAAGCATTTGTATACCGTTAATGTTATTGGTGTTTTTACATTCATTTACTTGCTTTTTGTGACTCGCCACAGGGAACGTTGTCCCGATTCCCATGAAGAGCTTCGATGAGTACACAACTTTCCTCTACAATAAGGACACCTCCAAGGCCTTTGAGTTTGGCAACATCGACGAGGACAAATCTGGCTTCCGACTGAGTTTACCTGAGGGTAGGTTTTGATTTTGTCCTTTTTTTTTTTTTCTTTCACTTAATCTAAAATAATGGTCTCCACTGTATCAAAGCCATATTGCAGGACTTGGTTGCTGTTGCATTGTGCATTACCTCAGTAAAAAAAAGTTAAAAACTTCAACTTGGTTTAAAAAAAAAAGATGGATCCTTTGCATTATTAAGGGAATAAATGTGTGCTCCGGAGGTTGCGCAGCTATGCCAAGTTTTGTGAAGGCGGTCGCGAGTTTATTGCGCAGCTGCGCAATGAATTTGTTGCGTAAGTATACGCTGTTTGTTCTGTTTCGTGAAATCGATTGCTGCCTAGTAGTTTAAGCAAGAAATTTAAGCTTTGCCATGGTACCCTACATTAGCTTGCATATACAAAATGCTCAAGAGCAAAAGACCAATAAACACCAATTTGATAATGTATTATAGCTTTATCAACAGTGACCTATTGCATTATTGTCAGGTCATTATCATATTGCATTATTGTCAGGTCTCAAAGCTAAAAAAGAAAAATTAAGTTCAGTCAGACAGGAAAACGGAGAGCAAAAGATGGAGTGACAACTACTCATGATATGACCGACTTGAAACAAATACCAAGATTTTGCCCCGTGGTACAAGCCTAAAAATAACTCTGGATTACCATGTCGGAGCAGTGTGTCTGGCAGACAGATGGGGAGGGATTCAAGGCATAATCAGCCACGGCAGTGATCGTTTATCAGTTCGCAAAACTCCCCAAACCTTTTCCATTAACACTTTATTGGCTAAAGAATTTTACTTGGCAAGTACTGTTGCGCAGTTTGAATGAAAGGTTTCATTTTTACACGGTGGTCTTCAGTAATTTAACTGTGTGACAGACTGAACGAGTAAGGCGAGCCATCAGATAACAGACCGTTCGGGTACCGGGTCCGGTATGCTAATTTGTTTCACCCCAATCGGTACGAAGCCAGAAGCCACCCGGTCACTGAAGCGTGACGCCCCAATCGGTCTAAACTGGTGACTCAGGGTTTCACAATAGGCAACATAAATTGAAGTCTGGCCATTGTTGGAGGATTATTCGGCCCGCTGGGATTAACAGGGGCAACTTCTATGAATCTCATCACAGTCATTGTTGCCTACTGGAGGATTAGCGCGTCGCAAATTGGTTCCTTTGTGATTAGCCAGAGCCATGGTGTAGAAGCCTGGTGGAGTTAATCCAGGCCGATCGGTTCCATGCAAGGTCCCAATCCCTTCAACATACTGGGCGGGCTCAACCCCGAACGGTCCGGGGAGGGATTCTAATTTGAGGGCTCGCCTAATGAATCAAAGAATCATTGGGGACCCATGTATTGAAATTAAATGGTCTTGTTTCCGGTCTTCTCCTTGTTCGTACAGGAGCCCTGAGAGCACGTGACCAAACCAGGGTGGAAGTCAACTACAAAGGAGTAGACGTCTCTAGCCCCGACGCCCTGGCAGCATTGCCGGACCTCGGCAAAGTCGAAGGAGGTACTCTATCTGCCGTTAATTGTGGTTGTGGGGAGTGGGGTCTAGTTGGTAGAGTTTACGAATCATGATCAGATGGTCAGTGGTTCAGATCTTGCTGCTGATACATGCATGTGTTTTGTTCTTGGGCAAGCCACTTTACCCCCACTTCCCTCTCTCCACCAAGGAGTATAAAACGGTACAAACATTACAAGGGTGTCAATCGCTGCGGGGAAGGGGACATTGAGGGGGACATACCTTGATCAGAAGTAACCCTTATAGTGTGTGATTCGGGCTAAATTATAAGCGGGCCCTGAAAAATGTTGGATTTGAGACACTCTGTGGTGCGATGTGAAGCAATATCTGATCACTTTAACAATTTTTGTTAGCAAAAGCTCATGATTTAAACAAACATTTTTGCAAGTTTGGAGTCATTGAATCAGCTATTCTGAGCTATAGGATCAAATGTAGGCTACAAATTTTATTCAGGGACAAAAAAAGGTGGGGGAGGACAAACAACATGACATGTTTCCCCCCCCCCCCACTTTTTAAAGTGGGGGGATTGCACATGTCCATCCCCCCCCCCCCCCCCCCCGATCCTCATCCATCAACAGCCATGCAACATTGCCTTGCGAGCAACCTGCAATGGACTGGTATCACACCCAGGCAGAATAGAAATGTTTTTCGGCCGTTTCACACAAAGGAAACCGGAGATAAATGCTAGCCTGATGAGCCGTATTCCCCCGTTTACTTACTTCACTCTGCAATAACTCACATCGGTGATTGTGTCTTTGTGCCACACAGAGCCGGGCCAGCGCTTGATCCCTCTAGGGGCAGCGGAGTTGTCCATACTGGACGAGCAAGGCAGCAGGGTTAACCTCAGGAGGCCTGCCTCCATGACGTTCCTCCTGAAGGATTACATGGAGCAGCTGGGCGTGGGTGAGACTCTGGCAGCGTACTACTTCGATGAGGAGCAAGGTTGGTATCTTAACTTTTATTGTTACGGCACTAATTTAATAACCACATTTTTCTCTGAGGTATGTACTGATGAAAATTCCTTTAGCCGTGCTTACTGTTTTTAATGGTCGCCATGAAATCGATAGAGGCTCAGTTAGCAGAAAATTGTGTGCTTAGCAGTGTGGTGAAATGGGACCCTGGTCATTTTGAATCTGGCATAGCAGTGGCCGCTGCAAATTAGTTGGGATAGATCGTACTTTACTGGGTGCCTGTTGCCCTTTCAAAATCTAGGATGTGAAAGCCCAGTCAATGAGTTTTCTTTTAGTATAAGAATCATTCCAATCACTCATGTACTTTTCAAGTTACGGAATTTTGAACACAAATGCCGTTTTAAAGTTCTGTTCACGGATCACAAAAAAGGTAAGTGTTCTTTTAGCAAAAACGAAAACAATTCACATACATCCCTGTGAGAATTGTTTTCCTTTTGCTGAAAGAACACTTTACTTGTTTTGTGATCCGTGGACAGAACTTTAAAACGGTTTTTGCATTCAAAAGTTCCGTAACTTGAAAAGTACAATTGAATGATTCTCGTACTATGAGACAGCTTATTGACTGGACTTTCATATCTTAGATATTGAAAATGCTACCGGCAAAACTTCATTCAAAAAGTGGTCCGGCCATTTGGGTTTCGTTATATTTTACTCTCCCTGTAGTGCTTCTTCACCGCTGGCATACGCATTCGGTTATTTTTCTTGATTTTGCTTATTTTGATTTTGCAGGCAAGTGGATCAAGGATGGTACGGGCACGATCACGGATAGCGCAGACGGACCCTCCTGGACCTACGACACCGACCACTTCACTTGGTGGATCGTTGCCTTCCTGTACAGTCCAACTAAATGTCTGACGGTCAGGACTTGCTACGATGCTGGCTGCACGCGACCGGCTACGCAGATACCCATCATGTAAGTCGCAGCAACGACAATTTTTTTTTCCCACGTGATTGTGTAAACGCACAAGTAGATCGGCAGGGTTTTAATACAAACTTTCCAAATAATCTGTCCTTCTGTTTTATGGCAAGCGATCACACCCCCACGCCATCACACGCCTAAAACCTTCCCGAGAAGTGTGAAAAATGGCATGCCTGAATCCCTCTGCACCGCACACCTCGGCATACATTTACTGCATAATTATACTTCATTATTTGTGAAAAATCAAGTACGTCGGTGAAGAGAAAATGGCTTTATTGTAAACCAAGATGAATATTTTGAAGAAAAAAATACCAGATTGTTCAGTCCAAGCTTAGACCACAGAATCACATGCCTAGAAAAATCACAACCCAAGAAAAATGGTGTATTTATGTTGTTTATACCCAAAATGTGCTTTCCTTTTACTTCCCATTCCTAAAACACCCTCCTCCATGATACCAGACACTTTTTGGCATGACATCGGGCCCTGGTGCTCGTTGTGCATTTGGATTTTGGATTATGTTCGTGTCTGCATAGTCTTGGGCTAAAGCGAGCGTGTGAGGTATGCTCGGAATTTGTCGGGGAGGCCTGCCGAATTCGTCAAGAGTGAATTTGATTCGTCTACTATTGATGTCCGTTGGCTGTGCTTGCCAGCCGCGCCATGCATCACCGCTGGGGACCGGCTGAACGTTACACGAACATAATCCAAAATCCAGTATCGACCGAAGACTCACAGACACTCATGCGTTCCACAAATGGAGCTCTCACAATCGGTCACGAAACGCAGTCTACCATTCGTGCACAGGGACCATATATTTTATGCACCGAGTCTGTGAGTAATTTTAAAATAGCTGTGAAGTTATTTCAAACTGTCTTCTTCTTTTTTTCTTCTCTTTTTTTCCCCAGAATTTACGGAGAGAACTTCTTCCTGTATGAAGAATACATGACAGGGGCGTCGGGCTCCATCTGCGCCAACGTCTTGAGCGACAGAATGAGTGAAGTGCACGTGCTGCAGAACTGCACTGGGGAATCGCAACTGGTGAACGGCAGTATGGCCCGGGACGCGCAGTGCAATGACGGAAGCGACGGCTGCGAAGTTGTCACCTTCATCATACCCGGTAAGCTCATCGTCAACAACAATCATGAACGGCAGATATTCCCATAGTTAAGTCCGTACTAAATTCAAGTCCAAAATTGGGAGCTTCCAGTACTTTTAGGCTGTCGATTTTGCACTAAGAATTCATTTTTATCGACATTGAAAAACAACAACTTCCAGTGGGAAAGTAGGTGTCCAACCAGTTTTATTTTAAACCTGGTGTTGTACTCTGTCCAAATAAGCATTAACCTCAAAATTTGAAGATTATTAACGTTACAGTCAGTTTGTGGTGGACGGTCACAATTCGGTTAGCCCTACTGCATCGGTACGAAATAGTTAGGAACTATGTTGCTGAGGGTTTCAAAGTATAAAAGCCGGTTTAAACTTGGCGGGTAAGTGAACAGGAGTACAGTCAAACCCTGATAAGAAGAGCACTGTTGATATAACATCCTGCTTATAACAAGCTTAATGTTAGGTCCCAAGTCTTTGCTTTTCTTTGTTTTCCATAACTGTTAATACAAGGTACCTGTTATAACAACGTAATTTGGGTAAAGTCCCAAGGACCTTGTTATAAAGGTGTGTGAATCCCTGGTTGATATTTGTGCTCTGAATTTGCCAAAGTTGGACGTACTTGGACTCCGGCTAATTTCACCGCGAGTGTCAAGGCCTAGCGGTTAATAAGAGCAACGAACTCATGCTCTGGTGTTTCAGAGGCAACAGTGGTGTGAGTTCAAGCCCGGGTCTGGACATTTGTGCCCTTAAGCAAGGCACTTGACCATTGCTTCGGATGGGACGTAAAGCCGTAGGTCCTGTGTGTATAATGCACGTAAAAGAACCCATCAACACTTTTCACTAAGAGAAGGGGTTCGCCCTGGTGTTTCTGGCAAGTGCATTTATCCTCATACATAATGAGGCTGCACTTTCAAGGCAGGAAGGAAGGAATAAATGTTTGTGACGTCAAGTTTTCTTCGAATTGATGAGGACTTTCTCATTCCTTTCCCTTTGCAGAAGATGTGTCTGGAGTGTGCCCCAACCCTGGCGAGCCCCAGAACGGCGTGCGCTCAGGCAACAGCTTCGGCCTGGGCGATCAAGTCTCATTCTTCTGCGACCCCGCCTACCGGGTCAAGGGCAACTCGCAGCGTCTGTGCCAGCAGTGTGGCAAGTGGAGCGGGTTCCAACCTTTCTGCACGCTGGCCAACGAGGGCAGCGACAGCTCCTTTGGCAGCGGCGACAGCTCCATTTAAACAAAAAAGAAAGAGGTCCGAAACCAGACCCTTCCGGTCGTCATGCAGTGTCGGGGTAATAGGTTAAATCTCGGTAACGCAGTTTGTGAAGTACCCGGAACAGACACATTCAGCCACCTCAAATTACAAGTCATTACTGTGGTGAAAGCATGCTCACTCGCAGGTCGTACGCGTGCACTCAATGCTATGTCAACCGAAATGGTTACCACAAAAACATCTACGAAAACGTGCGAGTGTGGTTCATCTTGAGTAATGGCTTGCAATTCGCAGAATTTGCCTATACAAAAAAAAAACAGAGCAGCATGCTTCCACTACCTTGAGACTCAAACCACCTGTGCCAATGGATGGAGAATCTTTTTAGAAGAAATATGATAGCAAGATCTCCCGATTCGGTCCAGTAGTTTTTGCTGCAGAGCCTATTTTATGAAGCACACATCTTTCATGTGAGTACTGTTACATAACAATTAATCCCTCTGTCCAATTAACTCACGCGGTTTAGTAATTCATCAGGACAAAATGACTCCAAATTTTGTTTCACAAACTAGGCTCTAGAACAAAAACTACTGGACCGAATCGGGCGATCTTGCTATCATTTTTCTTTCAACAGAATTCCCCATGCATTGGCATAGGTTGTTTGAGTCTCAGGGTGGTGGAAGTACGCTGTTCCATTTAGGGCCACCCTATAGACCATTTGATCTACCACACCAATAGGTTTCCAAAATAAAAAACGACACCCAAGCATCTCGCTCAATATGACAGAGTAAACGTCTATATTTTTGAACCACCCATATTTTCAAGTGATAGACAATTTAGTGCGCAGCAAATAATAAGTTTAGCGAAAGTTGGTTTTTGCTTGACCACAGCGTCCGCATGAACAAATGGTCACGTGAAATCTTTGACAGCGTTTAAGAACAGCGATTGCTGAATGGGAAAAGCAGTCTTGAAATCAACCGTAGATTTCACAGAAAAAAAACAACAATAACAAACCCAATCAGTATCATCTTTTTAACAAATGTGAGCAATTTTGACTTTCCATGGCACCTTATTTACAGAGGCAAGGCATTTATGACGGGGGGAAAAAATCACTTAATATTAGTATAATTCTACGTAGTTGCAGATCCGGAACGTAAAGTTCGAAACCCTGACATGTGTGTGCTATATGCCTTGCATCTAAGGAAAACTTCTGACTATATATTAAAATGCAACTAACATATTTAGGAGGTATATATATTTGACAAGTAATTCTAATTTTAAGAAGTCGCGTGTTTACGCTTTAATGTTGTTTCTAGACTTTATTAGAACGATTGGCCGTGCTCTTTAAGTTAACAAATGAAGACATTAACGTTTAAGGTTTATAGAATGCCATTATGTTTATCTCATGTCTGGACGAAAACATTTTAATGGATGAATATTAATTAGCCCATAAATGTCCCCTCACAGTGGGTTTTCATCATCATTATCAAGTCTCATTGTAAAATTTCTTAAGTTGAATAGCATTTATATCTTGAAGCGCAAATTGTCTACTCATTTCTCTAAAGCACTTGCACTAATTTCTCAATGATTTGTCGTTCGACAACTCCTTAAAATGTGAATGACACCTGCTAACCATTTTTGAGAAAAAACAAACAAACGCAACTTTCTGATGATAATAATAATGTGGTGCTTGTATAAGGTCTCAAAGCGCTTCACAATTATTAACCCTGTTCATCAGGCCATGAGACCAATTTTCCCAGAAGCTCGAGATCAGCGCATTCTGGTCTCTACCCTCACAAGTACCTAGTTGTACTCCTGGGTGGAGAGAGGCAATTGTAATAAAGTGTCTGGCCCAAGAACACAAGCACCATGTTCCCTGTCGGGGTTCGAAGTTCGAACCCACGTACCAGGGCACGCGAGTCAAAACACCGTAACCACTAGACCACAGAGCTTCACTGATGACATTTGAGACTTTTTTTTTACTTTTAAGTTTAAGTTTGTCTATAATATTTTTATGAAGATAATTGAAAACTTCAAAACATTACTATTCAAACCAAACTTTTAAAAGAACTAGAATCCCTCGTTAACAACTTTCAGAGCACATACTGCCAAGGTTTAACAATCCTCCAGATATATTATATTTATCCATTTTTAAAATTGTTATTTTTAGCAGACATAAACAATCAGATAATTTTTAGAGAAACTTTATTTTGCTGCACATATTTAAGAATAAAAAAGTGGACTAATGTGTGGAAATACTAGTAGAATTAAACTAAAATAATGTTAAGATTTTAAGATGCTTATTGATTACATAGGCACCAGTTTTTTCCCGTCTGTATTTTCAATGTAGGCCTACAAAAAAGTTTTGCAGCAACTGTCAAAAATCCAAAAGACAAATACCTTATTAGGATGCGAAGAAACAGCATGTTTTAGTTTAGACGAATAGAACTGTAGTAGAACTAGGCAAAAGTTGAATTTTCCAATTTTGTTTTCATACTTCCCTTGTGAGATTTTGAAGGCTTTGCGGACGCAAAATGTTTTAATTTTTGTGCTCTGGTTGGGGATCTTTAGAAACAAAGAACGTTTGCTCCGATTGTTAGCAACTTTAATGATATATTGTACATCAAAAATGCTATTTTTGAAACACTTTAGCTTAAGATTGTTAGAAATGCTATAAATGTTAGTGCTTTCGAACATTTTTCTCCTTATTTGGGTTTTTGTATATAATTTGGTAAATGTAGGCTTTATAGTCACTCCCTGAAACTGCACTTCGCTTACTGCACAGTGTGAATCTGTTTACAATTTATTTCATGTTAACATTATTGTTTGATTAGTAGATTTGGATTTTTGTTCAATAAATTGAAATTACAATCGTGGATGAAAGCCAGAATTGTAGTAAAGGTTTTTGTTATTTTTGCTGTCTTTCTATTTTATATATAAGATTGTAATATTGATCGCGAAAACAGCGGTAACATATGACCACTTTTTTTTTTTCAACGCTTGAAACTCAACTTTCAATTTATATTTTTGGAGGTAAATATTACAATAAAGTTTTAAAGGGAATATACAACATTTGCAAACATCGAAAAATAAAACTACCAAGTTTTTACGAAAAACCTTACTAGGATGTTGATAAATGACAGTGGAAAGCATCCTGTAAAATTATGGCACCTGGTGTGAAGTCATTTTCAAGAAAATAGTATTTTCGTATACATTTCCAACGGTGGTCGGCCGACCACCGTTGGAAAAACCTGACTATTTTTCAACTACTGATCCAAATTTACCATTTTTTTCAGTCCAAATTTTGTTTGCCATTGGTTAGATGTTTATGAACGGGTGCAGGTAGGCTAGACTAGTTTCCTTACCTTACAATTTTCCGCCACCTATAAATATTGATCTATTTCATCTGGAGTGCAGTCGGGGAACCAAACTGCTTAAACATTTTTGTTTTTCTTGGTTTTTCCAGCATTTTCGAACACAAAATTTCAAACAAGTTAATGTAGCAATATTTGATCCATTATACTATCCCCTCAAATAGTTCATTTCTAAAAATTACAGCAAAAGCCAATGATGTACATTCCCTTTAAACAACCCAACTTTGTTCATAATTGGGAAAAGCTAAAACAGAGATTATGTTTTGAGGACTGGAATATTGGACGATTTTAGGATTAATCTTTTTCGGGGGAAGAAATGTGCAAAGGGTTCTAATATTATTTTTGTATTATTATTTGGGTTTATTATCACCACATAGCAGTTCAAAAGCCGAACTCAGTGCACAGCGATTTACAATACTTTGAATTAAAAATAAACACATTTCACGAGAAATTAAATCTTACAAAATCCACAACAGTCCATTATTCTAAAAAGATAAAACCACGCTTGGATAATAGTACTTAAAAAAAATATTCTTAACTGTCAGTTAACAGTGCAACAAGCAAAACAAAAATCCATAAAATAAAAGTATTGGGGCCTACTGAACTAAACCAAGGAGACCTGTCTTTTGGCTGCAGCCTTTTTTGGACGTCCATTTCAATTATTCGGAAAATGAACCATCATGGAACTCCCAATTCATTCATTCTTTATTATTTTCACCATATCTCATTAAAAATTACATAATTATGTAAATCACCATAAATATTAGATTTACGAAATACACTTATCATAATTGTTTTATTTTAGAAATAGTGTTGCCCTGTCAAAGTAGTACGAAAATAAGTAATGAAAAAGAATGCTAAAATGCAGTTCACTCATGAAATGCAAGTAAATAAAATGAATCCAAGAATAAACACAGCAATATTTTATGTTAGTAATAATTCAAGTTACCAGAACAGACCAACAAAAGTTCAAACTTTTTTTGTGAAAAGGGCTATCATGTCGGAATTTTTGGCAAAAGAAACATTTTGTTTCTGTCTTATCTTCGTACAATTAGCTGGTTGTGTAGCAAGATGTAAATGCGCCATGTTGGAGCGCCCTCTCGTGAAACATCAGAGGAAATTGCAGGCAAATGTACATTTTGGACAAATTTGACCTTTTATTGGATTAAATGCGTGTATGACTGCCTTCCAACAAAATATGAAACTAGTAGCCTCTCTCAGGAGACGTTTAAACAATGTTTTTGATTTAATATTTGATCCAAATTAATTTATAATGATGAGAATGCTGGCGCGTTTACTTTTATCATCAATGGCGCCCTCAATAGACGGTAAAAAAAAAATTTGTACGCGCCGTGATCTGAATGCCTTGGTCAAGCACGATTTAGGGTGCGTTTTTCACAGGTAATTGTGACCATTTTCATCAGTACTTTTCCAATATGATTAACTGTATCTTTATGACCTTCATGTGGAGGTGAAAGTGGGACCCTAACGTATAAGATAACCTTCCTGTTTTTGTTGATACTGATCAGGCTTGTCATCGGCTATGCCGCTGCAGAACCGCACACTACACTGTCTGTGCCCTTGATTTTGGGGGGGGGGGGGGGGGGAGGCGTGGCGGGGGGGGGGGGCGTGGCAGGGGGGGGGGGCCGGCAAAATTGTTATGAAAAAGTGGACATTTTTTTATTATAAAAACTGAAAGGACGGAAGGGATTTCACAACCAGTAGCACACTAGCATTTTTTTTTCAATTTCATTCCTTAAAAATTAAAACAAAACAAAATAAACAATGTATTGCAAAATGGGGGGGGGGGGGGGGGGGTTGGCAGTGGCATATCCAGCTTTTGATGTTGGGGGGAGAGGGGGGGGGGGGGGGGGGGGTGGCAACCGCACTAGCACATCCGTGCTGAAATGTAGACCTATTTTTTTTTTCCTTCAGACACTTTCTCTTTGTAAAATCAAAAGGGGCAGTGTAGATTGTTTTCATTCAGATTTCAAATGGGGAGCACCCTGTTGGCATGGACATCCAGGTTGGGGCTGGGGGTGGGGGAGATGAAGAAAACCGTCCGTGTTATTCACAGGGGTGTGAAATCTCAGCGTTATTGCTTATTTCAGCTTTTTTTCTCTCACTTGCTGTGTACAAAAGTACATTGTAAGTTCAGCTTTTTTACACCTTTATCAGCTGTTTTCAGCTATTTTTTATCAGTGGTCACTCACACCCCTGTATTCAAATGGTATAGTTGCACCATGGAGGAAGTGGATGCAACATTTCGGTTGTCATTTATACACACATGACTAATTAGCTTCTGAGAAATATTGTGGCTCAAATTGCATCTTTGGGGCCACATTCATCAGCGATATACATGTACTTGTAAGTAAGGATGAAAGTCCACGTTTAAAGGGTCTATATGTAATGAATTTTTCTTAGGAACATATTTTGTGCAACTTTCTCCTCTTAAATGTATGGAAACTATTTGACATCGCTTTTTGGTTAAATTTATTGCAAAGTGCACTAAATACTCCAAAGTGTCCATTGTGTTCCAAACAGTTTTTAAAGCTATAGTCCATCATTTGCATTCATCCGAAAAGTAACTGGCGTAATTATTGTTGAAAAACATACTTGGTTGAAAGATAGTAAGGGGACTAAACTCCCTGGGAAATTATTCTTTCTGGCAAGCTGTCATTTTGAAGTAATCAACGAAAGAAGGCCTTTCCTACGGTGCGTCTTAAGACGCACCGTAGGAAAATTTAAATTAGTAGTTTGTTTTGTTATTCGGCGAAGCACGCGCAAGCATTGGCACGATGCACGCGCCCGGTTGCTATAATTCGTCAGATCAGTGCGCGACATCGCGTAGCTGCAATCGGCTCAGTGAGAACGCGTCTCGGACGCTGAATTCAGGCCCAATTCAAAACATGATTCAGCAACTTTTGATTTGAAATTGAGATCCTAGAATGCTGTTTTTCTCGGAATATACAGCCGAAGCTGAGCTGAAACTTCATCACTTTAGTTGTTCAGTATCCTTCATTAGATTTTGAACACTTTTGTTGCTTCAAACGAACAAAATGCACAAATTACAAATGATGGACTATATCTTTAAACAACTGAGGGCTTGGTTGCAGGAATGTCCACACCGGGCCATCCCATTCCCACCCTCAATCCTTGCCCTTTTCCATACCACACCCTACCCTCAACCTCACACTCTATATGATCCTACAACCCTATCCCATCCTCCATGCCAACACCCCTACTCTACACCCTATCCCAATTTAATCCTCCACCCTTTCCCAATAAGGTGTTTCACGGTAATATGCGCCGTCTTGTTCGCGGGGCAAAAAGATCACGCGTTGCTAGACACGGGAGCATTTTGGAATGAATGCATGATGACTTGGAAGCGCCAAAGCTTTCCAATGACGATGCATACACAGCAACGCGTGTAACATTGCTCTGTGGGCAAGATGGCGCATATTACCGTGAAACACCTTATTTAACCCTCCACCCCATGCTCCCATTCCTTAGGCCAGCATTTTTAAAAAATTTGTTGGATTATGTACGAACCAGCCGACTCTTAACATGACAATTTTAGAAAAAAATACAATGAGAAAATTACGGACATTTTATTCCCGACACTGGCTTCTTAACATCAGGAAAAAAAATTTTAATCATTGTAATTATTTTTTTTTTCCGACACGGTAATTTGCGTGAATTGAACAACCCAAAGGACTTACTTTTTTTTTCTCGATTTGGATTTCATTTAAAACAGCACAGTGTCACGGTAGCCCATATCGCAGATGTATCCCTGGTATCCGACCAAATCACATGCGTGCAGGAGCACTGCAGCTGAGCGTATACACATGATGGCGCCAGAGCGCGTTGGCTATTCATGTCTGACATCGTCATGCGTATGCCGCAGACTTCCCTCACGCCAAACCGCTTTCTTGAAAATCTTGAAATTCATTCAGTTAAATAATGGTACTATTGCCTTAATGCGGCTCGCTGTAGAACATTTGTGAAGAACTTCAGTGTCATGAAATTTAGTTGGGCACAAATTCGGCCCAGTGACATGTTCCCTAACGTGACAACGTGAATACATCTTGGAATATCCTAGGTTACCATTTAACAAATTCTTGAAAATTAAAAAAATTCTGATAAATCATTATTATCTCCACTCATGTAACCCAACTACAAGTTTGTCAGAATTTCTCCCCGTAGTTTTCGGCACATTTTATGAAGGGTTCATTGTCCACTTCAAAACAAAATCCGAAACCACTCCAAAATATAATTTCTTCGGAACTTTGTGAAGCGGATACGTAAACTCAAGATTTTATAACAGGAGAGTGTTTAGAGCTTGGTGACATTTCACATGCTGTGAATTTTGAGGTAAAACCTTTGCTGCAGCAAGGCACTAGAGGTAGAAGATCAAGGCGCTCCACATTGGGGGCCACGCCACATAATTAAGGGTCACCAGGGATGCGTTATACGTACTCACTAGCATTGTGTTTGCACAAAAATATAATTTTTTTAAACAAATTTTATTTCTATTCCGTCCTCCGACCTTTTATGTCGTGTTCGTAATCCAATAAATAAAAAAATGCCGACCTTACACCCCCCAATATCCTCCTTCTTTCCAACACCGCCACACCCATCCCATAGACCCATCCCCCACACCTTCATCCGAAACCCTACCCCACCCACCCCCATTCCCCCACACTCCATCCCACCCCCACTCCCATCTCCCCAACCTCACCCTGAAACCCTACCCTACACCCTATCCCTCATCCCCACCCAAGATTCACTCCAACCTCTGCAGCTATGGCTACACATAAAATAAGAAAACAAAACTCTTTGAAATTAATCAGTGCATGTAGGACTGTGTACAGTACATTTTTATCCTTGACAGGTCTACCTGAAATTGCTGTGGCAAATTACAATAGGGCCTAATCAACAAATTGACAAAATGATATAACATCCTGCAGTTTTCTTACCTTTAGATTTTCTTCTTCTTTTGTGCTGAATAATCTACCTCCATATTTATGTGGCTCTGGCCCCCATCCTCCACCATTAATTCTCTCTGTTTAAGCCTTTTGTGCAATGGAATGGGCTTAATTTCTTGACTCAATAGAAATTTTGATGAGCAGTGGCATACAGGGAAATTGCACTTACATTTGTATACAGCTAGACTGCATATACACACTGTGCTGTGTGGCACATTGAATTGCATGCATGGTTGCACACATGCACTGCCATAGGGCCCAGCAGTAGTACAAAAAGTGAAGCACATGTACAGTAGCTGCACAAGATCTACCTTTTTCTCAGGAATTGTCTAAAGGAAACTGTACTTTATGATCAATTTGAACCATTAAAAATGGAGAATTCACCTATTTCCAAGAGATGTGATTGGAAAGGCATTTTTTGAGTCACTCATTGTCAATGGTGTGCAGTACACTGTACTGCAGTTAATCTGTTGCAGGTACAGTAGTATATGAGAGGAAACCATTTTGTGGGTCCATTATTTTTATGATGGGGCCTTTTATTAATTCTTCAAAAATCTTTAAAAACAAATTTTCCCAACCTCCCCCCTTCAGTCCAAAACCATCCTGTCTCAACCTACTCGCCCCATCTCTCCACCACCCCTCCCTCGCCCCTCATCGTACCCCTCCCTCGCCCCTCATCCACCCCTCCTTCGTCCCTCATCCACCCACCTTGCCCCTCATCCACCAGAGTTGTAATGACTTGAGTCAATGACTCGACTCGAGTCAGACTCGAGTCACAATTTTTGGTGACTCGACTCGACTCGAGTCCCTAAGGGTAAATGACTCAACTCGACTCGAGTCACTTCGAGCAAATGACTCGACTCGACTCGAGTCCCTCATCAGAAGACTCGACTTGACTCGAGCGAAGGCTAATAAGACTGGAGTCCCAAAAATAAAAGCGCAACTTTGCGCAAAGTATTTGCAATGACTTACGGTGCAAAATTTATGCTCACTTCGCTTTGCGAATAGCAGTCATGTACAAATATACAACGTGTCACAGACTCCCACCTCATGGTTCTAGAACGCACAAAATACTATCCAGGAACCAGATTTTTAAACACATTTTCTAATTCGCTGTTTCATCATTGGTTTTGGGCGATTTCTTATAAAGCTCTTGGATTCGAACGCTGGCTAAACTTATGGCCTCCTTTTATAAATTTTGGTATATAGTGTTCAAATAATCGTGACTCGAATTGACTCAAGCTAAATATTTGACTCAACTCGACTTGACTCGACCTTTTGACCTAATGACTCGACTCGAGTCACTTCTTTACAATGACTCGACTCAATTCGAATCACTTCTTTACAATGACTCAACTCGACTCAAGTCACAAAAATCAGTGACTCGTTACAACTCTGTCATCCACTCCTCACTCGCACCTTTCCCACCCAACCCCCCCCATCCCACCCCACCCACCCCCATCCCTCCCATATCCAATTCTCACTCCACCCCATCACCCCTCCCCTCCCCTCCCACCCCATACCCACCCCATCCCTCACACCCCACCCTTCACACCCCACTCTTCACACCCCACCCTTCACCCCTCAAACCCCACCCCTCACCCCATTTGGGGTAACCCCGCCCAACCCCACCCTGATTTAGCTCTACGGGAACCTGATCCTGCCCACTTCATATACCTGTGCCTCTGTAGTGTTCTGCTGATCCCCATTTCTTGCTACCCCATACATGTAGGCCTGCACCCGATTTCACTAAACGATGCGACGTTTCGCAAATCGAGTTATGACGTGTAACACATCGCAACTCGCAAAGCGTCGTATCATCCATTTCACAAAACTTGCCATGTGTTTAACGCGTCGTAAGTTCCTTGACCGGCTTAAAACACGTCGCAAGTTACGACGTGTCTATAGTCGTCATCGCAAAATAAGAAGAGTCCTTTTCTTAGCCAGTTTTATGCCTTAATCATCACATAAACGAGATTAAAATACCGAGGCAATGTGTGTAAAGTTGTAAATAGAAAATTCATTGAATACTTATGAAATAGCCTGGAATATTGCAGTTGAAATTTCAAAGTAGCTATACAGTCCACTGAGAACTTGTTTTCCTTTAAAATTGTATTACTCGGCCGCCATTTTATTTGACGTTTTAAACAAATTTTGGCGGAGATCCGACAACTCTTTGTTGAATATCAGACGACTATTCACTGTACGCTGACTAAAGACATAAAACAGTCACCGAGTTGTGCTATAAATACACCTACGACGGGTCGCACTTACGACGTGTTTTGTGAAATGGATCGCAGGACACGTCGCAGCTGCGACGCATCATAGAGATACGACGCGTCATAGCTGCGACGCATCATAGAGATACGACGCGTCGCAGCGCTGCATCGTAAGTTACAAAGAGTTTGATGAAATCGGGTGCTGTTTCCCTAAAACCATGAAATTCATGAGGTTTTTTGTTGTGTTTTCTTTTTCTCAGAGCACACTCTACCCGCGCCTTCAAGTAGTGTCAACTTCGAGCCAGAGATCGATCAATCTTGATTGCTACATGATCATGCACATCTTGATGCAAAGGGTTTGAACTTATCCATATGCTGGACGTGCTAGAAGTGACGGTGTATGTACAGACAGCAAAATTCAGGTATTAAGCACAATGTATCTACATCATGTATCAAACTATCTGAACAATTGTCGGAAGCTGAACACTTTTACCAATTCCAAATTTTGACTGTTCTGAGAAATTCTAGAATGGAAGCAGTATATGAGAGGAAACCATTTTGTGGGTTCATTATTTTTATGATGGGGCCTTTTATTAATTCTTCAAAAATCTTTAAAACACATTTTCCCAAACCCCCCTTCAGTCCAAAACTATCCTGTCTCACCCTACTCACTCCATCCCTCATCCACCCCCCTCACCCCTCATCCACCCCTCCCTCATCCACCCCTCCCTCATCCACCCCTCCCTCGCCCCTCATCCACCCACCTTGCCCCTCATCCACTCCTCACTCGCACCCCTCCCACCCAACCCCTCCCATCCCATCCCACCCACTCCCATCCCATTCTCACTCCAACCCACCCACCCTCCCACCCCATCCCTCTCTCCCACCCCATGTACCCAGCCCATCCCTCCAACCCCACCACTCACACCCCACCCTTCACCCCTCAAACCCCACCCCTCACCCCATCACACCCCATCCCTCACACCCCACCCTTCACACCCCTCACACCCACCCCTCACACCCCATTCTTCACCCCTCAAACCCCACCCCTCAACCCATTTGGGGTAACCCTGCCCAACCCCACCCTGATTTAGCTCTACGTGAACCTGATCCTGCCCACTTCAAATACCTGTGCCTCTGTAGTGTTCTGCTGATCCCCATTTCTTGCTACCCCAAACATATAGGACTGCACCCGATTTCACTAAACGATGCGACGTGTCGCAACTCGAGTTACGACGTGTAACACATCGCAACTCGCAAAGCGTCGTATCATTCATTTCACGAAACTTGCGATGTGTTGAACGTGTCGTAAGTTCCTTAACAACGGCTTAAAACACGTCGTAAGTTACGACGTGTCTAGTGGTCATCGCAAAATAAGAAGAGTCTTTTTCTTCGCCAGTTTTATGCCTTAATCATCACATAAACGAGATTATAATACCGAGGCAATGTGTGTAAAGTTGTAAATAGAAAATGCATTGAATAATTATGAAATAGCCTGGAATATTGCAGTTGAAATTAGCTATACAGTCCACTGAGAGCTTGTTTTCCTTTAAAATTGTATTACACGGCCACCATTTTATTTGACGTTTTTAACAAATTTTTGGCAGAGATCTGACGACTCTTTGTTGAATATCAGACGACTATTCACTGTACGCTGACTAAAGACATAAAACAGTCACCGAGTTGTGCTATAAATACACCTACGACGCGTCGCACTTACGACGTGTTTTGTGAAATGGATCGCAGGACGCGTAGCAGCTGCGACGCATCATAGAGATACGACGCGTCGCAGCGCTGCGATGCATTGTAAGTTACGAAGAGTTTGATGAAATTGGGTGCTGTTTCCCTAAAACCATGACATTCATGAGGTTTTTGCTGTATTTTCTTTTTCACAGAGCACACTCTACCCGCGCCTGCAAGTAGTTCAACTTTGAGCCAGAGATTGATCAATCTTGATTGCTTCATAATCATGCACATCTTGATGAAAAGGGTTTGAACTTGCCCATATGCTGGACGTGCTAGAAGTGACGGTATATGTACAGACAGCAAAATCCAGGTATTAAGCACAATGTATCTACATCTAGCCCTTCCCCACCCCTCCCTTCCCCCTCCATCAAAACCAAGGAAAGCATGTAATATTTCCAGTCTTAAACTCCCACCATATGCAGAAGTGCATAGCACAGTGTAAAGGATTATTCCTTCAAACTATCTTTGTCTACTGTGCAATTTGAATGTCGTGTCAAATTTACGAATTAAAAAAAATATACCTTACAGTGCATTTGCAAAATCTGATGTAATATCAGTTAAATAAAAGTGCTGTCCTTCAGTATTTATAAATTTGGCTTGTCAAAAAGTACTTTTTGGACTTTGCCAAATACACCTTTCCAAAATTAATGCAGAGAAAAATTCCTTTGCATGACTATGGGGGAAAACTCCCCAGAGAAACATCCTCAAACTTCTTGTGATTTTAATCAAAGCATGCATGGTTTTGATGGAGAGATTTTGATGATATCAGAACATTGTTCCGGCAGTTGGTTGAAACATTTCCTATGACTTAGAAAGTACATTAGAAAAAAAACACTGCTGTCATTAGAGTAGACTGCTCCATAAAAATCTGAAGCAAAATCTGAAACAATTGTATCTTGCGCAAACTTATCTGAACAATTGTCGGAGGCTTAAAACTTTTTCCAATTCCAAATTTGGACTGTTGTCCTGAGAAATTCTAGAATTGAAGTTTTGAGAGATTCCTTCCTTATAAACATCGATACTTTGTGAAATTCAGCCAACAACAATGTCCTCGATCAAAAGGTGACTGTGTTAAATATGTCTCCTACAGCATTGACAGTCAGATTATATAAGAAAATAACCAATTTTTCACAGTTAAGAAGAGCTATCATCAAGAAATTTGAGGTGAGTGTCTTAAAAGTCTTTTGACTAAATGGTGCATTAATTGGTGAAAATGAAGAACTGGTCAATTTTGCTCAAGCGAAGTGCAATATTCAATTCCTTGTTTTGACATCGCGTCTCAAACTGCAAAACGTGGTTCTTAACTTTCTTGAGTTAAAGGGAAAATACAACATTTGCAAGCATCACAAAACGAAATGATCAAATTATCAGGAAATACCTTACTGGATTGTTAGGGAATGACAGTCTAAAGCATCTTGTAAAATTGTGGCTCCTGGTGTGCTGACATTTCAAGAAAAATTGTATTTTTCCAACGCTGGTCGGCCGACCAGCACTGGAGAAAACTGGCTATTTTCAAAAACTACTCCATCTTCCTTATATTTGGTTATTCCACATTTTCTTTGCAATTGATTACACACCTGTGAACTGGTACAAGCCTGCCAGATTGATTCTCTGACCATAAAATTCCCCAAAGTCTATAAATTGCTCCATTTTCTCTTTTGGTGGGGTCAGGGAACCAGACTACAAGAATATAATTGGTTTTCTTGGTTTTTCCAGCATCTACAAGCCAGAAACGTGAAACAAGTCATTTTAAAAATATTTGCTAAAACAAATCCTCCAAATGCACTTATTTCTGAAAATTGCAGCAAAAGCCAATGTTGTACATTCCCTTTAACTTTTGTTTAAGTAAACTTCAGAGCTTATTCGAAAAAACATCTGAAAGAAAGTACAAGCTTAAATTTGATTCTATAGAAAAGTGTCCACACTATAAATATTAATCATCAACTGAAATTCGAATACCTTTTTGCCGGTTTGAATATTCGAAAACCAAAAAACTACGCATATATGTACACACATGACTGTGATGTTATTTTAGCGTAAACTTATGATTGTGGCGCTTTATTGTAAGGAGCCACCTCTTTTTTTAGTCGACTATAACTTTTTTGTCAACAGCGGTTCAATGTTCCCATCCTTTTAGCAGGTTAAGGCCCTCGACAATTATAACACGCTTACAGCAAAAGACTCCAGTGGACCATATTGATCGTCACACGTAAATTTCAACTGGCACGCTCTGCCTGTAACTTTTGACTGGCGCGGCACGTAGTTGCAGCTGGTAGTTTTGGATATCTCAATATTCGGTCAAACACTGCTTTGAGTAATCTAATACTAAATTAGTCAAAAATGGATAGCCCTACGTATACATGTAAAAGAAACTGAAACATTGGCTAATTATTCGGACAGTAACTTATACATTTCCGAAACACAAGATAAGAACGGTTTACAGGGATTAATGCAAGATAGTGATTCAGGAAATGATTTCACATCCAAAGAAAGGTTTCTTTTCAAATAAGTGTCGTTGTTTTCGCCTCGTTTTTGTTTTTAACCAAAAATATGGTCATGGTGTCATTTTTTCCGCAGAAAAAAATTCTGAAAAATTTCTAAATGCGAACTTGTAAGTGCATTTGTATTTTTAATGGAAATTACAGTAGCTGTGCGGAATGTTCTTTTTTTTTGGGGGGGGGGCTGCATTTCAATTTCTTGACCCACAAGTCTAAGGCCCCATTGATGAGTCCCAAGTAGTCTGAGTCTCTGTCACAAGTCAAGGGTACAAAATAACAAGCACTACTTAGTAATTGAGCATTTAGGCCTACTAAAAAAAGTAGTTCAGCCTATATTTTTGAGTTCTTTCAAAACTATTCATGAATTTAGATTACTTTTTTAAAATTTCTACTGCCCATAAATAGTAATGACCCTCTTTGGTGGTAATGGTCATGAGGAATGTCATTTCAAGGTGTTGGAACAAAAAAAGTGGTTTCTAGTTTCAAAGCGTTTGATATTTGGATAATTGGCTGTGGAATTTGTATCACATGAAGTTCAAGTCTAAGCTTGAAATGGTTGCAGTTTAATTAATTAAATCACTGTTTCATGACTCGAGACTGAGCAACAACATCCATACAAATACCAGTTTGTCTTTGCTTTGTCACATTAGCATATTGTGCCTAAACCTTGCATCCAGTGGCAGTGGAAAAGAAAGTTGTTTTAAATTTACTGAAGTTAATTGATCACAATAATATGTCCAGTTTGTACTGAGATCCACTTCCGGAAGCAGATCTCAAGGAATCCCATTTGAATTACATGAATATTCTCAATTAACTCAAGTTCTGGTTCTAGATATTCTCAATGCTTATTGCTGATTGGTCACTCAGTATAGACTCCATGCCAGAACTGTATGGCAATGTACTGGCCTAGAAACCATATTTAAACCAAGAAAATGTGCTTGCCAGCGCTAGTTAAGCATGTTAATACGACGTAGCACGCACCATCAAATTTCACCCAAATGTGCAAAACCCATATTTTGTTGATGCAAGAGGCAATACCGGTACCACGACATAGGGAAATGGCTCAATAATAAGGGCTCCATGTGCGAACATGGGAGCTGTATTATTTATAACTTTCCGGAGCCCCATGGACGGGACGCACCTCGTGTGCATAATGGTTCACACGTGTATAACACAAGGCATGCACGACTAATGTCATTCTGAATATATGCACAATTAAAAGAAGCATATCTTCCCGTGAGCATCACGTTGTCGGCAATGCGTTCAAATGTCTCTCCCAGTGGTTTCCCCCAATTCTCCCTTCCTTACCATTGAGGGCGCACTAGTGCATGGATACAGAGCCCTTAGCCCTACAGTGTCCTTTTGAATTTGAATCATGCATGTCCAAAAATTTTTAAAAATGCAAAATGTTGGATGGCTACATGTACTTCTTAGTTTTGTTTGGAATGTTCTAGGTTTGTGATGTCAACTTTGTAAGATGGCAGATTGGATATAATTCTTGATTTGAACTGAATTGTTCTTTTTCAGTTTTCTTTTTTTTTCTCTAGTTCATTGGTCTTAACAAACTTTTGATTCACGAACAGACTTTCCTTAATTAGAAGAATATAGCTTGCAGTAATTTTGCGTGTTTTAAGGCATGCTTGCACAAGACAGTTTAACAAAAACACAGCTTTTTTTCTGTCATGTATGGAGCGACATATAGCCAATTATTCAAATGAATTTTCAAAATTCCCCATTTCAAAAACTTTCTTACAAAAATTAGTATATTTTTTTCTCAGTTAACATTGTTAAACAAGATTTTTTTCACAAGAATATGGAAACAGTAATATGACTAAACTTTTTTTTTAAACAATTGGTCGTTCAATTTACAGAATGTTCAACTTTTTCAGTTATAATTTGCTAAAAGCTTGTCACTTTGTAGCAAAAATACATAAAAACTGTAATTCTACTGGCACTTTCATAGTAGAAACATGCTAAATGTTTAACAATTTAAAGTTAAGCAACTGTGGAATTGCTCCGTATTGAAAATGTGCCTTGGTGATGCAGTAGTTTTGTTAGGAAATTGAAGTCTGTAAACTTGGCTGGGGTAAAGAGTTGGAGGGGGGGGGGTTATTTGGGATTTGGGTTTGGGGTAATAGAACCAATAGGCCTAAAACAGAACAGCAATGTCTGCCATTCCTTACAAGTACAAATGCATGTATACATACATAGTTTAGTGTAGGGCTCTTTTTTTTTGGTTTTTTTTTGGGGGGGGAGGGACAGGAGGGGACGGGAGGGGTGGATGGCTGGGTTTTGATTTTCTGTTGAAGCAGGAGATATTCTCTAGATACGTGTACATGTAGTTTTTATATCCAGATCAACATGATCAGGTGTTAATTTGTAACTTGATTGAAATTAATTAATTAATTAATGCCTATATCCCCAATCATGTTGCTAGCCTTTAAGTCCATAGATGGATTGCATGCAGCAGCCATCTTGAATGTGTGTTTTATTAAAATTCATTAACATTGAATGCGCAAGAGCTCTGCTCAGGCATTGTAAGTATCCCTGTTGAACAAAAGCACACACCTCCAAGCTGGCTGCAGTGCAAACGGTCTATGGAACACCTTAGTTGATTGGGTAAAGTATAATGTGAGTGTCATTCTATAAATGTATGGTCCAAGAACAAAGATGGACAAAGAATTAATGTTTCATGACATAAATGATAACAAATTGAACTCTTTTTATAGCCAAATTTTTTACTAGTACTATCAGAAACAATAAATTTACATTTATAGAATGACCACCAAATATTTTTTAAATTGTCTCAAAGGGTCATTCTATAAATGTATGGTCCAAGAACAAAGATGGACAAAGAATGAATGCTTCATGACATAAATGATAACAAATTTAACTCTTTTTATAACCAAATTCAAGTTGAACTTTCAACTTGAATTTTATATTAAAAAAAATCAAAGTGAAGTGTTTTAAAGTAAAACTGTTTTGCCGTACAAGTTCTATCACAAACAATTTACATTTATAGAATGATGACCATCAACATATTTTTTTTTTTTTTTTGCTCCATACCATTCATACTAAGAACCTTGGTGAGAAACTTTGTTCTTCTAAGTCTGTTTCCCAGTTTTTGATGATCAAATGTAGTCAAAAAAATCCAAAGATATAAAAACAATCATCTACCCTTTTGCTATGCAAAGTGTTGAAATGAGGCTAGCATTTTAATTTTTTTAAATTTTATTTCAATGGAACATGCCATTTTCTCATTGAGAAAGTATCGCATTTCAAAAGAAAATAGCGAAATGAAACACGAATCTTCTTAGCAAAAAGTTGCATTTGTCTAAATTGTCCAGATTTCATAGTTTGTATGGGGTTTTGCCCTGGCCAGATGCTTACTCCTAGAATTCTAGAGACTTTGTCTGTACAGCGCTGCATATCTTCACAATGGCAAGACCATTTCTCACCACCTACTTGGCATGGGATGAGTCGGCATGGAGGACTTGTTCTTCTTGTGGCGATGGTCATAGAAGACAGGTCTAATTCCCTGACCCCCAAGAATTCTACAGACTTGGCCTGTACACCAGCACATGTCTTCATGGCAAGACAGTTTTTATCCCGTCTGGCAGTGGCTCATATCTCCTAATCATGAGTCTGAAACTGCAGTCGAATCAGTATGGTGGACATACTGCTACTCTGCGACAATGATCGTAGAGTGTAGATTGAATGCTGGCCCTTGTGTCATTGATAGACTGTAAATTGTCTGCCGTCTGTACAATGTGGGCATGGCAATATCTTCACCATTTCATAAGATGGTGGTGTGACGTTTGCTGACGTTGGAATGAGTTAGCAAGATCTTTCATGTTGGTTCTAGTTGCAGTGGTCATCAGAACGTTGG